AGAGGTGGCGGGCAGAGGCGGCAACAAAATTAATCAAAACAAACAGGGGCGAGCCGTAGAGGAGCGACTGCAGGGGAACTCCGGGCATGGCCCAGGTGGGTGCCGGGCCTGTGGGCTCCGGCAGGGCGCGGTGAAGAACGGGGCCTGCGCGGCCTGGCCGCCTCCCGGAGCTTCCGCTCCGCCTTCCTCGACGGTGGTGACGAGACGGAGAAAGCGCGCGCCCACTCGCCCAGGCCCTGCTCCTCTCAAGACAGCCGAAAGGGGCTTTCCGGCCCCCTTGTCCGCTGGCGAACAGTTTCGGGAGCGGGGAAGTAACCGGGGGGCTTCTTTCGCTGATAATGGGCTCCCGTCCTCAGTAAGAATTTTTTCCTGTTTTTCTCCATCCCGGCACCTTTACGGAAAGCGGCTGTCGCTGCGTGGCAAAACACAGGCCTTGCGTGCAGGGGGGCTCAGTTTCAATCCCGCGTTTCTCTAGAAGAGAAGTCTTGTGGCACCTTAAAAACGTTTACAGATCTTACTTATTTGTTTTAGGGGGTGGGGGTTGTCCCGCTTTGCTTCCACGCTGAATCCTCAAGGCGAATGAAATACTTTTTTTAAAAAAAAAAATGCCACTTGTCCTGAAATATACAGCCCAACAAGGTAGTTTAAAAGCAGGTGGTGAGCCTGGCACGTGCTACTTGCTGGTGCATCTTAGGCAGGGCTCCTGTTTAAGTGCCCTCGGGCTGGAGCCTGTGACCAAGCCCAGGCTTGAAGTACCTGCTGAAAGGGGAGTGGCAGGTGCTCAGGTCAGGCGTTCCTAATTTCCTCCACTCTTCCTTTCTGTAGATTAATTGCAGTCTAATGTACTGCATTGTAGCTAGTTCTGTTAGTATTATAAGTTTGTTTATCTTATGGGGTTCTGTTAAGTCCCTAAGGTGTCACAATGTTTTTAATTTTTTGCAACAGTTAGCTCAGCTGCCTTTCTTGTGGCCTTTCCAATTAAAGGGTAAGCCCTCTCCACTGAGGTCTTGAAGAGCCACCACCAGGCAGAATAGACAGCACTGGTTTAAATGAGCTGGTGGTCTGACTCAGTATAAAGAAGTTGGGGGAGAGGGATATCTTAGTGTTGATGTTCCTGCTAGAGCAAACTGCTGCTGTTTGCGAGGGAAGGCTGTTAATATTTTATTTACTTTCTTGAACTTAGAGGCAGAAGTGAATGGGCCTGAAGGGATGGTGTTGTCCTTTCATTGTATGCATTTGGCAAAATGATAATTCTAAGCCACAGCCTAGTATCTCAAGCTCAGTCTCTGACATCTCCAATTTAAAAGAATGTTCATAATAGTGTTGGGAAGATCTTTGCTCTCTCATTCACACAGGAGCCCACATGTTTATTATGACACTTGGCTGTCATCTGAATTCTTGTTGGCATGTAAGTAGTGGTGCTAATGGGTACCAGATGATCGCCACAGTGATTCTGCAATCTTTATCACAGATTGTAAATGCTACTGGGTAATGCTGCAATACTCTTAAAACGAAGGACTTTTTATCTACCCCCCCCCATTGACTCTTTGTCTTTCATTGCAAACAGAATGCTCTGTCATTGCTTGTTGTTTCCAGCAGTATTTTCCCTGCCCCCCCAAATTGTTCAGATGTCAAGCATGGGGAGCCCGTCATTTAATTTTTCTATGAGGTGGTAAACATCAGTAAGGATAGGACTAACGAAAGCAATGCCATATCATGTTCAGAATGCTACATACTGCCATTCTTTGCCCCAAAGTGGTAAGAGGTTACTTTGCCTTTTGCCAACGAAGGAAATCTTGAGTAATTTTTCCTCTGGCATGTTTCTGCCTTTCTTTGAATAAATTAGTCCTTTTTGTGCCCCTTCCCCATTCAGGTTGAAGCCACTTTCCTGTTATATTAATGTCCCCCATGAGTTGCAGTGTGAAGTTTACTGGTGGTTAGACTTTTTAAATATGATTTTTTTAAAATATGAATCTTGCAAAGTGACACATCCTTGATCACCAGGGTGATTGTACAGCTGTGCCGTAGCCTTTTAGGCATGAGCAGTAGGTCTGGCCCCTGTAGGTCTTGGATATTTATTTTAACATATTGCACCATTGAAGTAAGTCAGCTTTGGTTTCCCATTATAAACATCAATTTAGTTGGGAAGTAAAAGCCAGTGGAGATAAAGTTATGTTGAAATAATGTAACTCATTCTGATAAGTTAAATACACTACAAATTTGAGCCTTAATCTGCAAATAAGTGTCACTGAAATTGGAGGTCCTTGTGTCCTGATGAATAGCTATGGTTAGAACCAAATATTAACTGCAAGGAAGGCTTCCTTAATTTGGTAGCTGTCTTCTCTGTACTCATGTAAATGAAACTTTTGGGTAGACATCTTTAATAAACATTTTAACTGAAACCCTTCTGGAAACATGCTTTGTGGCCTTGCACTGATGTTTTTCCACAGCAGATAACGTAAAATGAAATATGCTCATACCCACAATTTTCATAAACTGTGTACATCTGGGAAGCATAATTGGCCCAGTTTTTTTAATGCTGGGTTTTTTATAATGCTACATACTGCCATTCTTTGCCCCAAAGTGGTAAGAGGTTACTTTGCCTTTTGCCAATGTTTCAATTTGGTTATTTTTAGCTTGTAAGCTACCTTAGGCATATGCCTGGAGAAGTGGTATTAAAATGTTCTAAATAAATATATAAAGATGTAAACTGATAGGTACATCTAGACAGGCATCTCTTGCTTCCATGCCATGCATGTTTGCTGAGGAAACTAGTGGTACAATAGTGTTTCCCTTAAAGGTCATAGTATATTGCATTATCCATACATTTTACACACTTCAGAAGAAGATCAGCATGTAATTAATCAGTCTATCACATTTTATCCTACCCTTCCTCCAAGTATCTCAGGACAGCATATGTGCTGCTTCTCTGTTTCATCCTTACAGCAGCCCACTGGGATAGGTTACACTGAGTGTATGTGACAAGGCAAGTTTGTGCACTGAGCTTCAGGGCTGAGGGGGAATTTTAACTTGGGTTTCCCTATCACATCGTATCAGATAACTACTATACTGGTTCTCATGGGGGGCCATCATTGTGGCATATCCCCTACAAAGTTTGGTAGTTATCTGTTGTTGATGCTCTTTCTCATTGAGATCAGTGGACGAAATACGACTTTAAATGCATGCTTCAACCAAAACAGTACTGGATCTTCTCCAAAGATGGTATTTCTCCAGTGCTACTTATATCGTAGCAGCACATATGTTGAAACAGAAATGGAAGCAGGCGCTTATCCCCACCCTTACCCTTTTATCTTCCCCACCTACCCAAGGCAGTTTTTGTGCCTCTCTCCTTTCTCCCCCCCCCCCCATCTGTTACTGTCTGCTTTTCAAATGAATCAATTTGTTGAATGAGCTATAAGAAAGAGGGATGGGTTGTCCTGAGGCTGCTTCCCCCTCTGTGATTCTTATGAAATATTTAGGGTAGTATGTCTGCTTGGTAAAAGTTTGAGTTGAGCAGATTCCTCCAGTTGGGTTTTGAAGGGTGGATGAGGAGAGTTAATGCCTCCATTCCCTGCTGGTAGGAAGACTTAAAACTCTCCGTGCAGGTTTACATAAAGGGACTTGGAGAAATCAGTTAGCAACAGGTAAGAATATCCCATCTGTCTCCATGATCACTGCGGAGAGCATGGAAATATGTATTTATTTAAAACACAATGTACTTTAAAGATCTTCTGTTTCTGTATAGGCTTCAAAAATAAGATCAGTAATAAAATGTTTATGGAGTCTTTTGGTAGAAGCTCTTCAGAATTATCTCCTGGGCAAGACCCATAAAAAATGTTTGCTTGATTTCACCTGCTGAGCATCAGTCAGTAGCCTGAAGTCCTTCATGCAAGATGAATTTTATATACAGGCTTTATTACTTCCAGTTGGGCAAAGTGCATGTAGTTCATATGTACAACGTTGCCTGCATTGTGCATCTGTTTGACTGTGTGAGTACACAGTGAAGGGAGCCCAGACTGGAGATTTTCTGAGTGCTGTAGAGAATAATAATAAACATTTGTGCATTTCGTCTTTCAAACCTCTGAAAGCACCTTACATATATCTTCTGTAATCTTTACAACAATCTGTAAGGTTGGTTCCTGTTGTTATCCCCTGATGTATTAAATGTGGTGGACTGAATCTCAGTGGATTTTAACTAGAGACAGCCAGTTCATAGCTGGAGCTCTTAACCACTGTGTATTGCTGGATAGTGTGCATTTTTGCACATCAGAACAGTCACGCTGGGTAACATGTGGTTTGTCAGAAGTCCAAATAAGAAACTTCTTGCATGGAGTGGTTGTGGTTATTGTACCATTGCAGTGAGTTATTTGAGTGCCCTTTTATACAGGTTCTGAATTTCAGACTTCAGTTACAATAATCGTCGAGGCATTAGGTGGGCTTGTGTGTCTCCCTAGAAGGGGTTTTTTTTTGCTGATGGGTTGGTCAAATGTTTCTTTGAGAAGAACATTTGTTTTGCTGTGAATTGTGAAGGAAATGGAAGTGCCTTTCTAAAGCAAGATTATACATTTGTCATTAGTTTTCCACAGTATTGTGGGCCAGTGACAGTTATTTGAAGTATATTTAGTGATCTGTTCTAAAGAATGGGAAAAGAACGCTTCTGCCGTGGCCCTATTAAAATGTTTTACACATCACCTGCTTCAGCTGAATTCAGCAAGCACAAATATCTGTAGAAGAAGCTGCTGGTTGTGATACTGTTTAACAGCATGAAGGTAAAAGGGATGTCATTCTAAATTTTGCATTGTGGAATTTGTTTTATAATAGAACAATAGAAAAGTTGGGGCTTCTCTGTGACAATACATTTTTGTCTTTGTAGGTTGAAAGAAGACAAGGACACCGGCATGCGGCCAGTGAAGATGCTCTCTACTTCGACTTCAGCTATTTAAGCTGAATGCATTGTGATTTCCAGTAATTGAGACAGTGATTCTGAAAGCTGTCTACATTAATGAAAAGAACAATGTAGTCAGCTTAACTGAATCATCAGTGTTGCATATTGAATAGAGCATGACAAAAACCTTTCCTGATGGACGTCTGCATGTTAGGAATATAAATTATATACTTTAAAGCCTTGGTGTTTTTTTTAAAGTTTTAATAATGGAGACGTATGAAAATGCACCTCCCCTTCCAAAAGAGCCAGCAACAGAAGTGAATGTGGAGAACGATTCTTGTCCCCCACCACTGCCGCCTAATGAACAGCCTCCACCACCTCCCCTGCAAACGTCCAGTGACGCAGAGGTAATGGACGTTGGCTCTGGTGGTGATGGACAGTCAGATACCCCTGCTGGGGACGCGCACACTGTCGACAGAACGCAGCTTCTCACAAGTGGATCTTCATGCTACAAAACTCGTCTTATCGTAGATCCTAATAGTGACCAAAGTCCAAGAACTGCTCGTCATGCGCCTTCAGTTAGAAAGTTCATCCCTGATCTTAAGTTGCTTAAAGATGTAAAGATTAGTGTTAGCTTTACAGAAAGCTGCAGAAGCAAAGACAGAAAAGTTCTGTACACTGGAGCTGAGCAAGATTATGAGACAGATTCAGGTTTAGGTGTTAATAATGTCAATGGTGATATGCATGTATGTCCTTTTGGGGGTAGTAATGGTCGAGCTACGCGGGTAGCTGGTGAAACCGATGACAAAAAAGATGATGAGAATGATGTAGATCAAGAAAAGCGAGTGGAGTATGCAGTTCTGGATGATTTAGAAGACTTTACTGACAACTTGATGGAAGTAGATGAAGAAGGAGGGTTTACATCTAAAGCGATTGTTCAAAGTGACAAAGCGGATGAAGAGACCTTGAACTATTCTTATGAGGTAAGGAAATCTGATTTCTGAATCATGTATAGAAATATAGCTAAGGCAAAAATTTCTCTAGGATTTATTTAAAATGTCTGTCTTCATAACTTTAATCTTACAGTTAATTTTTCAGTACAAACTTTGTGGCTTAAGAATTCCTTAACAATTCAAAAGATGCATTTATTTATTTAGAAAGTGCTAAGAATGCATGACGTGCTATGTTAGATCTCGGAGTATAGGCTTTTAAAATCAATGAGTATGAAAACATACTGATATTGAAAACATGGCCACTGATTTTTAATTACCTTGGAATCTGTGGATGTCTGAACAAATCTGGTCTGGTCAGCAGGGTCTCAAAAGGGGAATGACTGTAGGGGCACAAGTATCTGACAATGTATTTTTCAGGATGAATTTGATAATGATGTGGATGCTCTGCTGGAAGAGGGCCTTTGTGTTCCCAAGAAAAGGAGACTCAATGAGAAATATGCAGGGGAGAGTGACCATCAGTCTGATGGGGAGACAAGTGTGCAACCCATGATGACCAAAATAAAAACTGTTCTTAAAAGTAAGTTGTTTACACTAATTATTTCTAATGACATACGTGAAGGCAATAGCAAACAGCCTCTGCTTCTCACTTGCCTGGAAAGCCCCTTCCTCAGATCACCATAAGTCAGCTGTGACTTCAGCACTTACGCACCCACAGACACACACATAGGCATATCTTCAGTTTGTAAACATCTGGGAAGACACGTCCTTAAAGTGAACCACTTCATAAGTTACTTACATCTGGCCTGCCATCTGTGTACTGTAGCTTGCTGGGTACTTGATGACTTCTCTGTATATGTGGTCTTTAAGCAAGCAGCAAAAGAAGTTACTGAACTACTTGTATGGTATGCAGTACATGGCTGGGATGTGTTTGGCTTGATAGGTCACAGGTTATGCGAATTGCCTATTGTTGTAGTCTTGCCTCTGTCTTAAGGTGGGTACTTATTGAGCATGAGGTTTGTGGAGGTAAAGGTTCAGCCACTTCCCTGAAAGCTGTTCTGCTGTTACTTAAATACAAGGAATTTGGAAAGCCATACAAGCATTTAGATGGCTATCTGTGGAATCAAAAATCTTCTTGGAAGATTCTCATGACTGACTGCCCAATCCATTGCATGTTTACTCAGAAGTAATTCTTGTTGTGGTAAGGCAGAATTGCTGTCAAACAAATGTACATGAGATTCTCATGACTGACTGCCCAATCCATTTCATGTTTACTCAGAAGTAATTCTTGTTGTAAGGCAGAACTGCTGTCAAACAAACGTGCATATGATTGTGGACTAATTAAAGTTGATATGTCATGTGGAAAGGCCTGTAATGATCAATTAATGTCTTCAGTCCTGCTAAAGAAGGCCATACAGTAGGTGTAGTAAATGAATGAACACATGACTGAAAGAAGAAATTTTCTTCATTTCTCTCCTCCCTAATGAAAGAAGGATAGATATAAAAGTGGCAGATGAAAAGGATGATTAGCAAGGAGAAAGTTAAAAGGTTTCATCATTCACTGTCATAAGGCTCTGGTTGAGGCTCTGGTAAAAGTAGAGTATAAAAAACAGTCTAGCACTTGAACATTCAGTTTAAAGTTAAGATGGTGATAATGTGGGCAGCATGACCTAAACTGTATCTG